GTGTGTGTGTGTGTGTAAAATTAAACTTTAGAATACAAATGCTGGGATTGCTAACAGTTCTTACCAAAATTTCCCACCTGAACCAAATAAATCCAGCACTACGTATGTCTTAAGATAGAGTCATTTAATTCCCATCCAACTCAGTGCGACTTATTTCTGAACTCAGGGAGTCTAGCAATAATTGAAATTAGAATCAACTCAAACTCAAACTCTACTGTGGCTTTGTTGTTGTGGCAAGGAAAATATGAAGTTCATACATGTGAAAGAATCTCTTTATTTCACTTTGGAGTATCTTGCCTCTGCATTTACCTTTCCCTCTGTTAGCAAGGTGGGGTGATTTATTATCATAACGTAATATATATTTGGGTGGCCTTCACAGTTCTTCTGGTGATGGGCTTTTGTGAAAGAGCTCCTTAATACCATGGTCGGAGCTGTGGGAAATAAATATAGGCATAATATACAGTAACCCCGAATCCCTGAATACTCTTACGTGTGCATATGGTGGCACATGTACTCCCTCCAAAATCAGGCAGGGGGGCAGATCGCAGGTGGCAATGGCCTGTTCTAGTTAACCAAACACTGGAATAAAACGTGGCTTTGTGTGTGTGTGAGCAATTCTCAAATACTATGAAAGGATCCTCTTTTCCAGCTGCATTTGATCTCTTCTCCCAGACTCTCATAATATACATATATTATACCGTATTTTTCGCTCTATAAGACGTACTTTTTCCCCCCTCAAAAGTAAGGGAAATGTCTGTGCGTCTTATAGAGCGAATGTGTGTGTGCCCGACGCCCGGGACGCTGCCGGCCCGCCTGCACCACGTGGCCCCACCTGGCCGGCATGCGATCGGCGTGCCCTGCTTTGCCCCCCTGCTCCTGCACAGGTGAGAGCTGTGCCACTCAGGGGGAGGCATGTGGAGGAGGAGGAGCCACGGGCTTTAACCCGCCGGCCGCACGGAGAGACGGACTGCTCACCCCCACCGCCCGGGAAGACCTGCCGCCGCCACGTCGCCCGGAAGACCACCGCCGGCACGCTGCCGGCCCGGCTGCACCACTACTGGCTGGCATGCGCTCGGCGCGCCCTGCTCTGCCCCCCTCCTCCGGCGCAGGTGAGAGCTGTTAATCACAGGTCGGTGTGTGTTTTCAAATGGCAACCCGTCTTTTAATGAAGCCCATGGGGAAGTGATG